TTCATTAAAATATTAATATCTTGGAGGGTCAGAGAGCTAAAACGAGCCCTTTGACCCTCGTTCGGTTGGAGATGACCTTAGGTCTTATTGCCTGACCTAGCCCACAATATTTGATATCGACAAGCATATAGATTATGAACATGTTGTTTATATTATGTGAAAAATATTAAAAATGCAATGGCGGATTACTTTAGTGATGAAGACATTTTCTCTTCCTTAATTTAAATTAGTCTAGAACATCGTATGTAAAAAAAAAAAACATTTCTTTATATTATTATATTTATTGATGGTATAATTATATTGTCATACTGAGGCCATCTCCAACTGATAGCTAGCCAAATGGCTCGTTTTAACCCTCTGGCCCTTCAAGATATTAATATTTTAATGAACAGTTGTTTAGGCCCAAAATATTAGTTTGGGCCAAGTTTAGAATTTTTCTCGACCCAGAGGCCGTGCTTAGGAGTTGCTGGGGGTCATCTGGTTTATGGGCCACATAGCCAAGGCCAGCCGTGTCCTATTAGGAATCCATGGGTAGTTGAATTCTGATACGGAAATGAGTTTCGACAGGATAAGGATGTTGAAGTTTGGGATTAAATGCGGCCTGATAAGGGGGTTGAGTTCAAAGTCCTAGTAGGAGTAGGACTGGCCGAGATAAGGTTGGATCGGGGGAATGAGTTCTAATCCGAGTATGGTTGTGATTCGATTGGAAGCATGTTGACTACTATAAATAGAGGGAGGAGGACATCATTAAACCCCCTCCAATTCAACACACAAACTGTCATGCGCAAACCCTCGCTTTCGCGAAACCTCTCAACAACCTTAAGATTTTTATCTTTTCTGCCGACACATATTCAGTTTGGATAAACAGCACTATGAAGGCAACCGGTAATACCTTCAGTTTGGATAAACAGCATTATCGCCGTAGAACCAGCCGACCGCAGAACACCTTCAGTTTGGATAAACAGCACTGCATCGAGGCCGACTGGTTATCTATCCAAGTCTAGGTCGAGAAAGACTTTCGGGTCTTTATTGGAAAAGGTCATCTCATTAGCCTTTTCGGCAATGTGAGGTGTTACAATTCACTAGAGCTCGGCACATTGAACGCCGAGTTGCTTTATGATTGAATACTCACAAGTAAGCTTTAAAATTCGGCATTCTGACAGCTGAACCACATTTACCATCAAGACATATATTTGTTTTAAGTATATGTGCCCCTATACTCTGGTGTCGATTCAGCGTGTTTATACCCTTACAAATATAATTACCGTGACCAAATCTGGCGTCGACGATTTGTGAACTTCGCAAAATTAGCAGCCTTGTCTTCAGACTTTAGAACCCGAAGGCCGATAGTGTTCCTTCCTCGACCGCAGTCGCAATATCGAGAAGTCAGCCATGCACTTAATGCGACATCAACAAATTTTACTCACCGGCCGAGCTCGGCCTTCGAGTTGGCACTCCCCGCATATAACCGAAGAATGTAGTTAGCTTATTAATTACTCAGCATGTGCGCCACGTAGGCTTGGTAGTTTTTAAGGTCAACAACAGTACATGACCATATTTGCCTTCGTCTCCAACTGAGGGCCAAAGGGTCATATGTCTCATTTTAGCCCTGTCACAAAAAACTGTCTCCAACCGAGGGCCAAAGGGCCAAACATAATTTATTATTTAAATTTAAAAACTACAACAACTTAAATTAGAAAACTACAACTTATATTTAAAAACTACAACTTAAATTTAAAAACGACGAATTAAATTTAAAAACTACAAATAACATTTAAAAACAACATTAACTTGAATTTAAAACTACAACAACTTAAATTCAAATCCAACGGCCAAGTGACGTCAACTAGCCATTGGTAGCTGACATCATGGTGACGTCAGCTAACCGTTAGATTTTATTTTTATTTTATTTTATTTTTGCTATAAATAGGGTGGATATTGGGCTATAATTCACACAACTTTGAATTCAATCTCTTTTAATTCAAGTTTGCAATGAATTCCAACTTTGGATCCTCTTTGGATTCCAACTGGGGGTCCTCATCCAATTCCAAAAGAGAAGCAAAATGGGCACAAATGAGACAAGAAAATAAGGAGTCTAATGAAGAAGTTCAAGTAAAGCGCAACAAACAAAACATAGCAGTAGCTATGGCTACGGCCAGGGTGTCAGCCAACTGAGGAACAACCTCAATGGGGTGGCTCTGTTGCTGATCGCTCTTACAAACCATGAAACAGAGTGATGACGCATGCTAATATGATGAACAACTACTTCAACCCCAACTCGGTGTACACATAAGTGGATTTTAGATGTCGCTTCCAGATGAGGCATCATGTCTTCAAGCGTTTACATCGTGATGTCTAGCAGGTCAATCCATACTTTCGACAGAAGCAGGACAGAGCAAGCCACCCTGGTTTCTTACCTCATCAGAAGGTTACTGTTGCACTCCGAATGATGGCATATGGCTCCCCAGCTGATTCGATGGATGAAACACATGGTATGTCTGAGTTTACATGCCTTGATACTCTTGAACATTTTTGTGACACAATTGTTCAGGTTTACAAATACGAGTACCTTCGCGAGCCAAATTAAGAAGATCTGAATCAGCTCATTCGCAAAGATGAAGACCGTGGGTTTCTAGGCATGATAGGGTCATTAGACTGCATGCATTGGGATTGAAATAACTGACCCACCGGATGGCAATGAGGCTTTACCAGAAGGTCGAGAAAGTTAACTGTTGTGTTAGAGGCAGTTGCCTCATATAACATATGGATCTGGCATGCTTTCTTTGGAGTCTTTGGATCCCAAAATGACATTACAGTTTTTGGGCATTCACCCCTCTTCAATAACTTAACTGAAGGTAAAACACCTTAACTTGACTACTACATCAACAACCGTCAAATACAATATGAGGTATTACTTGGCAGATGACATCTACCCAAAGTGGGCGACACTTGTCCAAGCAATTCCAAACCTTAGGAATGACGCAGAAAAGTTGTTTACCTTACACCAAGAGGCATACCAAAAAGATGTTGGGAGAGCTTTCGGTATTCTACAAGCACGGTGGAAGATCATCAGCGAACTGGCAAGAGGGTGAAGTCGAGAAAATTTGGACTCCATCATGATGTCTTGCATCATATTACACAATATGATAGTGGAGGATGAGCTAGATGGGTATATTGATGGAGAGTCCGATGACGACTAAGAAGATCCAAATAGGTCAAGAAGGGCTCAAGCAAAAATATATGATGGGCCTAATTTGCCTTTAAATGAGTACATGAGGCGTTATAGAATGATATATTCTCCTGCCACAAATAAGTACCTACAACAAGATCTTGTTGCACACCTTTGGGCCAAAAGAAGCATGGAGTAGGCGTTTAAGTTTTATGTTGTTAAATGTTTTTAAAAATGTTGTTTAAGTTTCATGTTGTTAAATGTTTTTTGTATGTTGTATAATTTGTATGTTGGTTGATGTTATTTAATGTTGTTTCATATTGTTTAATGTTGTTTCATGTTACTTAATTTAATTTAATGTTGTATAATGGCTTAGGAAGTTATAGGAAAAAAATATAATTTAAAAAACATATGAACCAAATTTTGTGAAATAGAAGTTATAGGAAAAAAAAATAGAATTTAAAATAAAATAAAACAAATTTTGTGAAATAGAAGTTATAAGAAAAAATGGAATTTAAAAAAAATATATATGAAACAAATTTTGTAAAATAAAAGTTATAGGAAAAAAATAGAATTTAAAAAAATATATATGAAAAATAGAAGTTATAGGAAAAATTTTGTAAATATAAAATAATAATAAGAAAAATCAGTCACTAGATTTTTTTTATTTTTCAAATTTACTACCAATCCATTTGTTCAAATGCATATAAAGTTATAAAACTCAAGTCTTTTTGCAATTTTTTTTTCTTTCAACTTCTTATTCTCTCAATTTCTATCGAATGTTTAAACCAACTTCCCATTCTCTCAATTTCTATTGAATGTTTAAATCAATTATTGTATGGTCTTAAAGATTATACTTTAAGGTAATCAAAATTTTGAATTTATATTTTTCTTCTCAATAACTTTTTATTCAATGGATTATTTTAATATTCAATTTGTTAGTGTGATGTTGATTTTAGAAGAAGAAAAAAACACAAGAGAAACAATTGGCGTTGAATTTATTATACTCGTCAATCAAGTTTTATTGTTCTTCACTCTCAATCTTAAACACTTGACTACAAATATTTAGTACATTTGTTCTAAAAACGTGGATCGTGTAATGTTTAAATAATGTTTGTATATTTATCTTCTTTTGATATTAATTTTTAATGATATTTGGTGTGAAAATAGAACTTTTTATGTATTTAGTGAATTCTTTTTTATATAAATCAATATAAAAGAACCAGAGATTAAAGAATTTTAGGGCTCCACTTCAAAGACTCACCTAGAGCTTTCAAATTCTCATAGCCGGCCCTGATGAGAATTGAGATGGACCATATTTATGCTTGGCTATTCCAAATACGGTTATGCGATAATGTGGACCTAAAGAAATTCCCACTCCAACAACTTCCACCTCTCCACAATTTTCTTTTGACTTTTTGTACGCTCACAATAAACAACATGCTTTCCCATTAGATAGTTCCAATGTGATCAATTTTATATCACATCCATAGCTACAAAGCAAAACAAACATCATTTCATGTTCGTCAAAACATAGAATTTGATGTATTTAGGTCTGATTCTATTTAATTTGATGTATTTTAGTCGGATTCGACTTTATAAGATTACTTGTGATAACTTTTCTAATCGGGCGGGCTGCCAGCCGATTCGTTTAGTGTTCACAAAGTTTTATGCACATATTTAGCTGTTTTTCAATTTTCATGGACTGTTTTCAAAATCCAAATTTAAAAGTTTAATTAAAAGAAACAATTGGCACAATTATCTGATACGAATAATCAAATCAATCTTCCAATGGCAGAATATGAAAAGCAAAATTAATTGAAAAAAAAAAGAGGCAAAAAGCAACACCCTCTCCATCAAAGGAAAAGATGCCATGTCCTGTATTTTTCTGTTCAATTTGCTTTTTTTGGTTATCTAACGTACAAACTGAAATCTAAATCCAGAGACCCCAAAAGGAAAATAAATAAATGATTAATTAATCCCCAAAAAAAAAAAAAAAAAAAAAAACAATTTGCATCGAAATTGGTTCTGTTCACATTACCAACATCATAACATCATGCTGCTAAAAGCATTTCTCAGTCACTTTCTCTCTCTTTTTTTTCTATCTACATTTTCCCGGAAAAGCAGCCTAGAAAAGCAAAGCCTCAATGCTGGCCTTCTTTGGCGTTCTACAAACCGGGCAGTAATCCAGAACGGCCTCACAATCTTTGCATGAACAGAGGTGCCTGCAGGGAAGAAACAGCACACACGAACTCCCAGAATTACATCTTCTGCAAGCCTTCATCTTTTTACCTCCTCCTCCATCACTCTCTCCTTCTTCTTCTCTGTAATTGTCACAGCAGGACTCTGCATCTTCTCCACCATTCACGTTGCAAAACATGGCCCTCTCCCTGAACTGTTCTAGTGTGTTGTTTAATGTCATGACCATGGCTTCGTTTTCTTGTGCCACTCTTTGCCATGCCAGGTTTTCTGCCTCCAATTTTCTGAGAAAATCTTCGAGCTCCATTTGTCTTCTGTTTGCTTGTGTGATTTCTTCGTCTTTCTGCTTTAAAAGTACTTGTATCTTGGAGTCTATATTCTTCAGCAGCATTGCGAGCTGCTGCTTTCTCTGCTCTTGCAGCATCATTCTCAATCTCTCACTCTTTTATTACCAAAATCATGAAAACAAGTAATTTCAAGAAAAATCGATTAAACCCAAGTCATAAAATCACAATTTTAACTGAAATTGGGATGAAACCAAAAATTGTGAAATCACAGTTTGTGATGAAAATTGGGTTCTAAAGTCTAACCTGTAATCTGATGTACTGATCAATCTCTTGCCTCTGCTTGGCAGCCTGAGCTTCAAATGTTTGAGAAAAGGAGGAGGCCATAATGTTGCTGCTGTTGTTTTCCAAAGTGGGGACAGGAATACTGTTTTCAAAGCAGAGATTTTGATCCATTATCTGCTGCTGGTTTTGTAGTTGTAGTTGTTGCTGCTGAAATTGTTGTTGAAGTTGGTGTTTCTGTTGAGCATTGAAACTAAACTGACTGAACCCACCAATACCACCCCCACAATTTTCCACCATCCAATCCTGTGAGCCAAACAATGGAAACCCAAGATTTTTCGAATACATCTGAGCCTCAATGGCCATATCTCAATCAACCAAACCAACCAACCCAAAAGATCAAAACTTGAAACCAACTAACCCAAAAGATCAGGTTTTGAAACAAACCCTTTTCTCCAAACCTCTCAGTCTTTCTCCTCAACCTGTTCCTGCACCCAAAAACTAGTTTTTGTTTTTCACTGGGGCCTATGATCACAAGGGTGGTGGGCAAGAAGTGGGGAGCATATATATATACGGAGAGACCAAACCTAAAATAGTAAATAAATGAATGGGGAGTAGGAAAAAGGGATTGAATTGAATTGAATTAAAGTAACAGGAAACTTGGAAAAGGAGGAGATAGGATGCCTAGTTTGCTGTGTCTTTTCAAGGTCTCTGTTTTTATACTTATATGGTGGAGAGAGGAGAGAGATGTATGGGACGCGGTAAGCAACAACGTACACATGCAGATTTTGTGACTAAACTATCGGGTCAGAGAGGCGTTTGCTTTTTAATAGAGAGAGAGAGAGAGAGAGAGAGAGAGATTGAATTAAATTAAATTAAATTAAAAAAATAAAATAGGAATTGAATTCCAAGTGGGTGAGGGGGAGAAATTTATTGGAGATTTGTCAGTTTGATCATCTGGAAAGGCTGAGGAGACTGGCCAGAATAGGATCCTTTTATTTCTCTTCTTTTTTAGGATCTTGGAAATGTCAAATAAATAAATTAATATCCTTTTCTTTTTCTTGTTTTGTGAAGATAAATATGTGTATCTTTTTTGGGCTCCTGTGTAAACCTAATGAGGAACATTACAACTCAGGGTGTAGGTGTCATCTTGCTAATTTGTCAAGTATTCTAACTCAAGTATTTGGTACAACATAATTAGGGTTTTTAGGAAATATTAATCACTTAATGGCAATACTTATCTTCTTGTTTAAGGTGTTAATCGAGATTGAATGTAGGAGAACCTTTTGCAACTAAGTCGTTTTCTTAGTAGGATAGATTTGTGTCGATGCATGGTAAGACAAATCCAAGCGGATTACACCATGCAAAAAATGTTCGTTATTTTTTTTTGTTGGTCAATTGTTTGAGTTTATGGGATTAGGATATCTTCAAATGTTTATCACTGTTTATACGGTTTGTATTCATATGGAATTGGTTTGTTATTGATTTCATATTTTGGCCTCAATTGATGAATACATATCTTTTTTGGACGAAAATTGAACTTAGGTTAAATCCATCATAATGTGAATTACTTTCGAATCTAAATTCAATTTTGTAAAATCAAGTTAGTCTTCTGATCCATTCAAAATCGTCCGAGTTGCAACCCAAAACAAGGTTATTATTATGTTGCCGTTTCCTTTCCAATCCTCACAATTCCATGCACATGTCAAACCTTCTAATTGTAGGAGTAGGAGACTTATCAAACTGATTTTGCATGGGTTTTGTAGTAAAAAAACGGCAGGTAATTGGGACGTATTGTTTGCTTAATGCTGCTAAGAAAAGTACACAACTACCAATTACCCTAGGAGTCAAGGAAAAAAATTAATTGTCCACGACTACCTATTGAGAGTTAATATATTAATGGGTCTCTTTAATATATAAACCCTAATTAACAAGTTTCTATTGAGATAGGAAGATAATCGGTACGAATATTACGTGCACACCAACTCGATTAGAGATAAATTCTTGCGTTAATTAACTTAAACATATGCCTTAATCCATTACTATCCAGGAAGGAAAACAAGATTATTACTAGATGAGCACAAACGATTAATGAATAGTTTCAGCTAATATCCATTATAATTTTTCACACACGATAAAGAGGTTCATTGAATCATTAAGACTTCAAAGGGTAATCATCTTAATAAATTGAATTAGATTAGTTAAGAGACATAACTTTCTTGCTATACATACTTTTTATATCTCACTCCTCATGTTAAACACCGCAATTGAAATAAATAAATTATTCAGCTTAAGTGCAAAGTATATGCTTTAAAACTTGAATATTGTCGCAATTCTTCGTATAAAATAAAAATTCTAAAATTATAATGCGTGTATAACACCGATTTCTCTTAGTACTATTTTATTAATTGTGAAAGGGATCTACCATCGAAGCAATTCATAATCTTTCCACCAACTGAAAGTGACGAGAGAGATAAAAAAGGAAAACTTGTTCAACTCAAATTAATATCTGTAACCCCAAACACTGTCAACTGCCATATCAATCTTTTCTGCTACTAATTTTATTCTCAATCCTTATCTCTCTTGAATTTGGGACTGATACCTAGGAAATGATATTTTCTTTCACCTTTTGTTAAATTACCATGTCACTCGTCAGCAGGATCGACAGGTTCAGAAGAACCAACGAAAATTCATGGAAATTAAAAACCCCAATTTATATTTATTTTTCTTGTATTTTTCCTGCAGAAAATTACAGTGGACCCATGTGCTCATCACCCTTCAGGACCCATGAAGCATATGATGCTTTGTAATCAATAGGTGCAATCCATGTGAACCCATCTCACACTTCATTGACTAGGCATTTATATATTTATTTATTATCTTTATATATATTATTGATGATCTGTGTGAATCTCTGAGTCTTTCTGTGATTAAAAAAGTTGTGCAAAAATCCAAAAGCAGATTTCTCTCCTAGTGATGTGTAGTGTTGGATGCAAAAGTCGTTTCTGCAACTTCCCAACTGCTTCTATTTGTTTTATAGCTTTCGGCAATGTGATATGGACGCAGTGCATCTGCATGTCCTATGCCCCCCTCTCACTTCCCCAAATTAGGGGGCAACCCCCACCTAAGTCTTCAGAAGTTGACAAACTTTCAAGCCATTTCTTGTGAAATAAATTCCCAAATCCCATTTAATCTTATGATAATTTTGAAAATGTACACTACATATGTGATTTTACAAGTATTATAACTCAAGTAAATTTAATTACATCAACATGCATGTATGTTACAAGATGTTTAAAAAAAACTTATGTAGGGATAGTTATGTTGAGAAATTTTTCCTTATGACCTTTACACCCTCATATTGTGTTGTAGTACAATTTGAATTCAACTGACTTATGTTATAACAATGTGATTTAGTAACACTATATCGTAACATAATTGTCACATACTAAACGTTGAAAAACATGCACAAATAGAACTTGTAACAAATATTTAATCGAAAATAGAACTAGTATGATACTAAGCAGACAATAACTCTTGTATAAAATACAGTTTAGGGCCCTCTAAATATTTGTGCTCGTGTCGTTCTAGTAATATTTTGATTAGAAGTTTGTAACTAACTTTATTTGTGAATGACCTAACAATCTTGATAAAAGATGATATGTATTTAAAAATAAAAATTAGTAATTGATTCTAACCAAAATGTTATGTCACTCCACACAAAGTAACAACAATGGGGAGAGTTAGAAGATACGAGATGAAGGCAAGAGGTGCCGGTGGATGAGGTGCGGCGTCCAATTCAGGTTGAGGCACCTAACCCTAGCCGCTAGGTGCGACAATCAAGGTGAACTGTGATAGAGCATACCAAACGGTACCTTAGAGATAGGTTTTTTAGAAGTTCAGGTGGAGTCAGATTCTACGTGTGTTGTGGGCATGATCAATGGTGCAATTCAACCTGGTGCTTCGCTTGAAGTCCTTCAAAGTTTGCAAAAGCAATTGAAGTTACTAGAAATTCTTTTTACTCTATGTGTTTGTAATAAGGCAGCACATTTATGGGTTTCTTTTGTTTCAAGTGAGGATGACCTTCATAGATGATAATGTGTTGATGAAGAATGATTGTTTAATATTTTGACCTCTGATGTAAACGTTTTTTTATTCAAATATAATGAAATTTATGTCGTTGAAACAAATAAACACGAAGTAACAACAACAATCCTACTTAAACTTTAATTTTTTTATTTTAACTCAATCATATTTAAGTTTTCTCACAACAATTACATTGAATAATTATTCACAAAAATGGGTGGTTCGATTTATGGTTGGGAAGGCTCCCACCTCATGGTAGAGTCTGTCTCTGCATGCCTCAATTTATGACTTTCAATGGGTATGCAGACCCACTGAAACCTGTGGTGGTCTGTGGACCCCCTGAACATCATTTGATGGGCATATTTACCATTGATACGTAGGTCCAGGGCTAATGGTTTTTGTCAAGATTCACCTGAGTAGGTTAAAAGGTCATCATATAATTCACAAACCATTGTATCATCTTTATTTGTCCATTTTTGTGCGGCAGCCATGTTTTTTGTACCCTTGGAAAAAAAGACCTAATAGCTTTCAACTTTCTCAAGCCATTTTTTCTATGGATACACGCGTACGTAGAATTATTAGTCAATATTAGGACAATGGAGATCATGTGATCGATGTTTATAGACTTGACTTGGAAATATTATAATGGTGAGATTGGAACCAACGAACACCTAGTTCCTAGTGAGATGATCAACTGTGTTAAGGACATTGAATATTACATGATGCATTTGTTAATGGCATTTTCCATATAATTATACAAAGTAATTAGGAGCCATGCCAGTCCTTTTAAAAGTGATGCTATGAATGACGGGAGCTGCAATCTTCTAACCATCATATTTAGTATAGGTAAAATGTGGGCATGCTGGTGAATTCAGAATTTGAATATTGAGGATCTCATTGTTAAAGGTTCAAGTTTGTTAAATGGAAACAAGTGAGGCACACAACAAAAATTTTTATTCAGTAAAGCATTTTGTTGAACAATTATTGGGCTTCTCATCATCATTTAAGCTATGCATACGTATCAACTATATCGACGTATGCCGAAACAATCTGTTGAGTGCTATCGAGATAATCTGTCCAATTTTGTCAACGCAACTTGTTGGGTGTTGTAGAGATATGTTTAGAATGGATTACATCAAACACTTACTGAGCACAAAAAAGTTCGAAGGGTCATCGAAAGACCCACACATATGTACTTCCCAGCCTACGTGGTCTCTAGATCACCTTGGCACCTATGTGGATCAACCCTTGCATGCTGAGAAATTAAACTGTACGTAAACAAATTCGTAAATTCCAAACACAATCTTTGCAAGTGTAACGAATTTACTTAATTACATGTGTGATCTAGAAGTAATCCTTTTCATTTAACGTTCTTTAACGACTTTATATCTTACGAGAAAATAACTTTTATGAATCAACAGCTTACATATGTGCGAATGATTATGCAGTGTATCAACTATAAAAAATTAGTAACTTGTAACTAGTCTTAGCATTTTTATTGAAAAAACTTTATGTTAAAAATGAATCACACATTAACGGGAGAAGAGATCTTGTATGAACTTACAAGTAAATTGTTCTACTTCGTATGTTATCAATTGGTTTTAAATAGAGATAGATTCTCATGTTGTGTTATTGGTAAAAGGGGTCCC